ATTATATCCACTTAATAGTTAATACATACATTCTACATCTACTTAATATATAGTTTATATATTAAAGTATAAAATATAAGTGTATTACTCATCTTATAGTAGTATACTTATATATTATATACTATAAACATTATATTATATATTAGTTACTATAACTAGTATTATACTAGTTAATTAGTTAATTAGTATTCTTGTTACATTTTTCATTATACTAGTTAATTAGTTAATTAGTATTCTTGTTACATTTTTCATTATACTAGTTAATTAGTTCATTAGCATTCATGTTACATTTTTCATCATACTAGTTAATTAGTCCATTAGCATTCTTGTTACATTTTTCATTATACTAGTTAATTAGTTCATTAGCATTCTTGTTACATTTTTCATTATACTAGTTAATTAGTTCATTAGCATTCTTGTTACATTTTTCATTATACTAGTTAATTAGTTAGTTAGTATTATTGTTACATTTTTCATTATACTAGTTAATTAGTTAATTAGTATTCTTGTTACATTTTTCATTATACTAGTTAATTAGTTAGTTAGTATTATTGTTACATTTTTCATTATACTAGTTAATTAGTTAATTAGTATTCTTGTTACATTTTTCATTATACTAGTTAATTGGTTCATTAGCATTCTTGTTACATTTTTCATTATACTAGTTAACTAGTTCATTAGCATTCTTGTTACATTTTTCATTATACTAGTTAATTAGTTCATTAGCATTCTTGTTACATTTTTCATTATACTAGTTAATTAGTTCATTAGCATTCTTGTTACATTTTTCATTATACTAGTTAATTAGTTCACTAGTATTCTTTTTATATTTTTCATTAAACTAGTTAATTAGTTCATTAGCATTTTTGTTACATTTTTCATTAAACTAGTTAATTAGTTCATTAGCATTTTTGTTACATTTTTCATTATACTAGTTAATTAGTTCATTAGTATTCCCATTTGACTGCGAATTCTTAACCTTTTGGTAATTTCTCCTACAATGATGCACAAAATTTGACTGGTATGGCTAACTTAATTTGTGAAGAAAATTTGCCTTATATGTTTTCTGAAAGTCTTGCTTTAAGAGATTATGCACAAGGTAGTTTAAATCCTCATTTTAGAAATTATAGTCGTAAAACCGTTAAGAAAGAAATTATAAGGCTTTATAATGCGGAAAAGGCAAGGTTGCAAATTTTTTTTGCAAACTTTGATGGACGTGTTACTATTTGTTCTGACATATGGGAGGATGATTTTCATCATTTATATTATTTGGGTCTGACTGCACATTATATTGATGAGGATTGGAATATGTATAAACGTGTTCTTGCTTTTCGTGAATTTAATTGCTTTTCGTCACACCGCTGAACATATTTATATTTTGATTGAGCGTATTTTAATTGAGTATAATTTGATTGACAAGGTGTTTGCTATTGGTTTCGATAATGCTACTAATAATACTGCTGCTATACCTAGATTGCGTGAATTGTGTGGTGCCAATACTTTGATGGGTAGATTTTTTTCATCAACGCTGTGCATGCCATGTTATAAATTTATGTGTGCAAGACGGTCTAAAAGCGTTAGGAGATGCTATTGAGGTAGTGAGGGGGGGGGGATTAGACGTATTTGGGGTAATGGTCAACTTAGATTAAAATGGCAAACTTATTTGACTGAAAGAGGTGTGAGATATGTTGCTTTTCCTAAAGATTTCAGTATTTGTTGGAATAGTACTTATAAATTACTTAAAGTTGTTCTTAGATATAAAGAACATTTTCCTTCTTTTTTAAAACAACATGATAACTATATTATAAACTCGGCTGAAATCGACACTTGCGAAAAAATTTGTAATGTTTTGATATTTTTTTTAATGAAACTGAAACTTTTAGTCATATTTATAAACCTACCGCAAACCAATTTATTCGTAAAGCTGTTAATCTCGCCGGTGCTTTTAAAGAATTTGAGAATGCCGATTTCGTGAGTTATTTTTGTGATTATATGAAGGAAAAGTTTTTAAAATATTATGCGCATATTCCCCATATTTATGGTATTGCATTTATTCTCGATCCTCGTTTTAGACTAGCTAATTTGGAAGATTGTTTCAACTTCTATTATCTTGCGTTTTTGGTGAATTTCCAATGTATGACGATAACCTCATAGATTCGGAAACGGAATACAACGAGGTTAGTGCTTTATTTTATGCCTTATTTAATGAGTTTCGTGCACAATATAGCAATGCTCCCCCTCCCCCGTCACGAACATCTTCATCTAAAGGAAAATCGATATTTAAATCTGCATTATGCAATCTTATGAAAAAAACTAAAACAACTCACGTCACTGAACAAAGCGCATTGAATGAGATTACTTTGTATATAACATATGAAGTTGATTTTGAAGAAAATGATGACTTTGACGTTCTAGACTGGTGGAAGTCAAAAGAAAGAACGTTCCCGATTTTAGCACGGATGGCTATGCAAGTACTATCAATGCCGGTTTCAACAGTTGCTGTGGAACAAGAATTTAGTTCGGCCGGCAACGTCCTAACGGTATCTAGATCGAGATTGAGCGCAGAGTCTCTTGAGACGCTTATATGCTACCACGATTGGTTGAAGGCCGCACGTAGAACTCAAGAAATGAGCATCACCCCCTCTCAAGATTTTATGGATGACTCAACAACCGATGGTGGCTCTACCTATGCCGATGTAGCACTTGTCAAATTAATTTGTACTTGTACTTCATATTTCAAAATTGTAAACTTGTACTTCATATTTCAAAATTGTAAATTTTTGTAGTTGTACTTCAAATTAATTTGTAAACTTGTACTTCATATTTCAAATAAATATGCGTTCATTTTTTCATATGTAGCACTTCTCAAATTAATTTATTGGTTACAAACTTACGACTTAAAATTATTTTTCTAAAATCTAAAGCCGGTTTTTAAATTAAAAATACATTTACAATATGTAATTTGTTTAAATACTTATACACCTATTTTGTAACATTTGTGAATTATAAATCAAACCACTTTTCTAAGTACAAATAGCTTTACTTAATTCATTAAATTAATTAACTTATTTTACAATATGTATAACTTTAAAAAAAATTGAATTTTTTTTTTCAAACAAAAGCTCCCAAACGGCTATATAGCCGTTGGGGCTTTGGGTGGGGGGCAGGGGGTCCCGGGGGTGGTGGTGTGGGGAGTGGGGTTCAAAAACATCTATAAATACATCTATTTTCTAACATTTTTCTACACCTCTTTTCCAACTCTTCTCCAACTCTTCTCCATCTTCATCTTCTCTTATTATCCTACATTCCTACTTATACATAACCATTTTAAAGATGGAAAGTACATCTTCCCTTATGCAAAACAATTTTGATAAGTGGAAGGACCCGAAAACCGGACTGTGGTGAGCAACTTGCAAGTGGTGCAAGAAAGAGTGTTGCTTGGGGCGTTCACACGGATACGAGATGCCAATAAAACATATGAAGTCCTGTGACAAAGGGAAAACAACATCCAACGGTGGCGGAAATCCCAATTGATATTTATTAGAAAATGTATTTCGTATTGTTATTTTTTTCTCAATTCTCAAATGTAGTTTCTATTTCAAATAAATGCACTTGAACTTTGTTTTTAATAGGAATTTGTATAATATATAATTAATATATATATATATATATATAATGAACCGGCCCGGCCCGGCGTAAGGGTGGACTCGGTTCTGGCCGGGCCCGGTTCGGGTCTTGAACCGGCCGGGCCTCGGTTCAAGGTAGGGGAGGCCCAGAACCGGCCCGGGTAACCCCCGGGTCCAGTTCGGGCCGGGCCCGGTTCGGTTCTATATAATTTTTTTTTTGGGTTTTCCTAATCAACCCCCTACCCCCCCCCCCAACCCCAAACCACCTCAAATGGTCCAAAATACCCAATCCAACCCAAAAACTTAAAAAAAAAATCAACAAAAAAAAATTAAATCCGGACCGGGCCCGAACCGGCCGGGCCGATTCACCAAAATGAAGGCCCGAGCCCGGAACCGGTAGCCACCGGGCCGGGTCGACACGAACCGCCCATGGGCCGGGCCGCCGGGCCGGGCCAGTTCAAACAGTGACCGGGCCGGGCCGATTCAGGCCACCCGGCCCGAGTCCACCCCTAGCCCGGCGGGTGGCCTGACCCGTGACCCGGCCGGGTTGCCCGGCCCGAACCGGAACCATCCATAGCCCGGGCCGGTCCCGGGCCAACCTATACCAGACCCGAGGCCCAACCGGGCCTTGGCCCGGCCCGGGTCCATCACTAGCCGCAAGTGCAAAACTGTAGGCATGGACTGGGACGGGCTCCGGGATTGGGCGGGCTTCTGTTTGACTAGTCCATATATATTAGTGTGTACTACTAGCTCTGATGATCTAATTGCTCTGTACTTGGTAGGCATGGACCGGTCCGGTCCAAATCGGGCTTTTGGGGAGAACCGGTCCGGTTTGCAACCGGGTCCGGGCCAGTTCTTTTTTTTTTTTGCTTTACTAATTAACTCCCCCCCCCCCCCCCACACACACCTAGCCCAACCCAGGAAAAACAACAAAAATTGGAAAAAAAAAATCTGAACTGGGCCCGGCCTGGCCAGTTCCGAAGGAAGGGTAGGCCCAGAACCGGGCCCCTCTAACACACCGGGCCAGTCCTAGGCCCGGGCCCTCACTGTGGCAGGTCGGGCCGGTTCCTGGGCCAGGCCAACCGGAACTGGTCCATTCCTAGTACTTGGTTTCTACGTAAGGCAGCTAGTGTGCTTTTCCATACCGACACTGTACAAACTGTGTCAGTTCTCACTTCCTGTCGGGGTAGTCCTATCAGAGGGATTCAGAGGTACTACACAGTACACATTCATGTCCGCTGAGGCATTTTATGACTCCACATTCATGTTCTCAGCTTCTTGCTACACACTATGAGGGGGAGGATCGAGGATGGCAAAAGAGAAGAATAAAAGATATGCAAGATCTTCAACTCCAAAAAGAAATAATTGGCGAAAAAAGAACAAAACATAACTCTATATATTACACAATAGCCAAGATGATGCTTACAACAACAGTAGAGTGCACAGAACTCATAATATTGATTAACAAACCGAGCACTCTATTTCAGAGAACAGTTAGAAAGAAAGAAAAATGGCATCCCAAAAAAAATACATCGTGGGAATATGCATATGCAGCAGTAGTAATGAAAAAAGAATGTACAAATGGTAAGATCCCGCAACACCTTGCAAATGCTGTCAACTGTGTCAAGTATCCTCCCCACCTTTGGTCCGTTGATCAGTTCCACGGTGGAGATGAAGATGGTGGTTTGTACATGAAATCTTGTGGAGCTGACCCGTAATTTAGGTCAAGGTTGTGCAACTGCTCCATCAGCTGAGAACGTCTTTCTTTGAAGAAATCCAATCGTGTGGTCAACTCCACCAAGGTGGAAGATGCAATGACTGGAGGAGGATGCCGACCATAACCCAATCCCTGGTTCAAGGCCCCCCCCCCCATTTCTGCAGTTAGTACTACAGGATAAAAAAACAATGCAATGGTGCACAATGAACAGTGTCTTAGTTTATTTAAATATGGATCCTCTATTTAGCCCTGGACGACCCTTGGATCAGCTTAAGAGGTAATCCCATGCTTAGGCTGTGTTTGGTTTGAGGGGAAGGGAGGGAATCATCTCCACTCAGTTGGTTAAAATATTAGGGGGGGGGGTTAAAACTTCTATAATCTTACCCTCTAGTTTTTTGTGCACCAAAACCAGAGGGCAGCACCCCGTCCCTCCCCTCCAAACCAAACATAGCCCTTTAGTTGTGAAGACCATACTAATCTGATGACTCCAATGAGCCGAGCGGAGCGATTGGCCAGAAAGACGAGCAGATAAATCGTATCCGCAATGAGATCATTTTGTTATCATGCCTGTCCCAAGCCAAGATAAAGGAGGAAGGTGCTATGGCAAGAGCAGGACGGCCAATAGCATCACTTAGTCACATCACATGACATGAACCGAAATATGAATATCGCTTTGCTCTGATATCATAGATCGATTCATGTTAGCCGACCCAAAATCTTTTGGGACTAAGGCTTGATGTTGTTGTATACTATTTTTTGAAGTACAGATATTTAGTACTTAGTACTGGTAGTCTTGGTACCCCCTCTGGAAAAATAAGCCATGCTCGAGTAAAGTGCAAATTTTTAAATTTAGTTAACTCAACCAAGGTACCCCTAAAAGTTAATATAAAGATTATTCGGAGTAGTTGACTGAACTTGCTTGCCACATGGATATACAAGAAATGTACTTTAAAAAAAATCTTTTAAAACTGAATAATTTTTGGTACAAAACGTTTTGAGAGTTTGAAACATGATTGTTTTTTTCAAAAGGAAGGAATTTCATGGTTTCATATGGTCGTTATGTATGTCTCCTATCACGTCAGTAAGTCATATCCAGGAAAGTACAGTAATAGTTTATTGTTGAACACTATTAAACCCATTTTCTTCTATTTTGTTTATTCAGCCTGTGATCACATGAAAGAAATTGTTCAGAACAAAGTTTAAATGAACCTGCCGTTAGTGCAGTCTACGGCAAGTTGGATGCACTGACTAGGATAACTAAAAAGAAGAGTATAAAATCACTAGGAAAAAAGGAAATACGGTAAAGATGTAGAACTTTGACCAATGATAGGTCATGTTTGATTTTGGAAAATGATACAATTCTGTTCAAAATGACTTATGACGTGGAACTAATCATTATCATTATCATTACCCCAGTGCCACAAAGGCTTCCACCTTCGGTGGGGTAAGGGGGTAGGATGTACGCAGTCTTATCCTTGTACTAAAACACAAAGAGACCGTTTCTAGATGATATAAAATGTACTAGAATAGCCACTAAAATAGTCGGGGTATCAATTAAAAACATTAGCCAAATCTGAACATAGATGACCAAAAGAGTCAAGAATGGCTTATCTTTATAACTTTATAGGACAGAGGGAGTACTAATGACAAAATAATTAAAGCAGTACAGCACCTAAATATAGTGAAAAGTGAAACGGAAAACCCAAGTCCAAAATACAAGGCTCAACATAAGATAAAATAAAACTAGGATTGAATAGAATAGTCTAGAATGTTTTCGGAGCTTAATACTGTTTTTTCTTCCGTTTTATTTCAATTATTACCTCCGTAGCCCTTGAGGTAGATGGCAGAGAGACGGAGTCAACAACAACACCAAATTCATCCACGGATAAACTGGTTGATGCTTCAGCACTCTTAGAATCACTCAAGCTCGTGGACTCCAATGAATGTTTGTGAGCTGCCTGCCTGCTAGTGTTGCCAGGCGTCAGAGCTGGTCCTTTGACGTTCCTCAGTTCCGAACAAAACAGTTCCTGCATCATAAGACCATTTGTAGTGGAGAGGTATTAGGAGTCCAAAATGCTAGGTTTGGAGGTTTTGGACTCCTAATTGAATGTAATGCGGGATTAAAAAAGGGGTTAAAAGTAGGAATGGGGTGGATGGAATTAAATTTAGAGAGTGGATTGGCACTTGGCAGGGAGAAAAGAAAAGAAAAAACAAAAGGGAAGGTTGCGGTAAGATGGTAGAGCGGATGACATCACGCAGACATCATCCAACAACAACATCCAAGCCAATGAGCCATAGTCTCAAAATATTTTGGGGTCGACTAACATGAAACGATACATAATATCGGAACCAACAGAAAAGGAAAGACAAGAAAGATAAAAAAAATAAGTAACCATATAAAAAGATGATATAAAAAGAGATTAAATATACATAAAAAAATATAATAAAAAGCATAAAAAGAATATATATATATATAAAGATAAAAGGATAAAAAACAAAAACACAAGAGAGAAAAGGAAGATGAAGGGGAAAAAATGATAAGATCACTCCACCACACGAATACCCGCCCTCCGCTTTGCTCTCTCCAAAGTCATACTCTCATCCAACCCAAGTAGAAACATATCACTCCTAACTCCTCTAATTCATGTTTGTTTGTGTCTTCATCTCCCTCTCTTCTTTGCTCCTTCTCTACACCTTTCAACTCGTCTGGCATCTCGATCTTCTACGCACATGAACAAACCACTGCAAGCGAGACTCCCGCGTCTTATCTTCAATAGGTGTTACTCCCACTTTTTGTCTGATTGTCTCATTCCTTAAGCGGTCCTTTCTAGTATGGCCAGAAAGACGAGCAGATAAATCGTATCCGCAATGAGATCATTTTGTTATCATGCCTGTCCCAAGCCAAGATAAAGGAGGAAGGTGCTATGGCAAGAGCAGGACGGCCAATAGCATCACTTAGTCACATCACATGACATGAACCGAAATATGAATATCGCTTTGCTCTGATATCATAGATCGATTCATGTTAGCCGGCCCAAAATCTTTTGGGACTAAGGCTTGATGTTGTTGTATACTATTTTTTGAAGTACAGATATTTAGTACTTAGTACTGGTAGTCTTGGTACCCCCTCTGGAAAAATAAGCCATGCTCGAGTAAAGTGCAAATTTTTAAATTTAGTTAACTCAACCAAGGTACCCCTAAAAGTTAATATAAAGATTATTCGGAGTAGTTGACTGAACTTGCTTGCCACATGGATATACAAGAAATGTACTTTAAAAAAAATCTTTTAAAACTGAATAATTTTTGGTACAAAACGTTTTGAGAGTTTGAAACATGATTGTTTTTTTCAAAAGGAAGGAATTTCATGGTTTCATATGGTCGTTATGTATGTCTCCTATCACGTCAGTAAGTCATATCCAGGAAAGTACAGTAATAGTTTATTGTTGAACACTATTAAACCCATTTTCTTCTATTTTGTTTATTCAGCCTGTGATCACATGAAAGAAATTGTTCAGAACAAAGTTTAAATGAACCTGCCGTTAGTGCAGTCTACGGCAAGTTGGATGCACTGACTAGGATAACTAAAAAGAAGAGTATAAAATCACTAGGAAAAAAGGAAATACGGTAAAGATGTAGAACTTTGACCAATGATAGGTCATGTTTGATTTTGGAAAATGATACAATTCTGTTCAAAATGACTTATGACGTGGAACTAATCATTATCATTATCATTACCCCAGTGCCACAAAGGCTTCCACCTTCGGTGGGGTAAGGGGGTAGGATGTACGCAGTCTTATCCTTGTACTAAAACACAAAGAGACCGTTTCTAGATGATATAAAATGTACTAGAATAGCCACTAAAATAGTCGGGGTATCAATTAAAAACATTAGCCAAATCTGAACATAGATGACCAAAAGAGTCAAGAATGGCTTATCTTTATAACTTTATAGGACAGAGGGAGTACTAATGACAAAATAATTAAAGCAGTACAGCACCTAAATATAGTGAAAAGTGAAACGGAAAACCCAAGTCCAAAATACAAGGCTCAACATAAGATAAAATAAAACTAGGATTGAATAGAATAGTCTAGAATGTTTTCGGAGCTTAATACTGTTTTTTCTTCCGTTTTATTTCAATTATTACCTCCGTAGCCCTTGAGGTAGATGGCAGAGAGACGGAGTCAACAACAACACCAAATTCATCCACGGATAAACTGGTTGATGCTTCAGCACTCTTAGAATCACTCAAGCTCGTGGACTCCAATGAATGTTTGTGAGCTGCCTGCCTGCTAGTGTTGCCAGGCGTCAGAGCTGGTCCTTTGACGTTCCTCAGTTCCGAACAAAACAGTTCCTGCATCATAAGACCATTTGTAGTGGAGAGGTATTAGGAGTCCAAAATGCTAGGTTTGGAGGTTTTGGACTCCTAATTGAATGTAATGCGGGATTAAAAAAGGGGTTAAAAGTAGGAATGGGGTGGATGGAATTAAATTTAGAGAGTGGATTGGCACTTGGCAGGGAGAAAAGAAAAGAAAAAACAAAAGGGAAGGTTGCGGTAAGATGGTAGAGCGGATGACATCACGCAGACATCATCCAACAACAACATCCAAGCCAATGAGCCATAGTCTCAAAATATTTTGGGGTCGACTAACATGAAACGATACATAATATCGGAACCAACAGAAAAGGAAAGACAAGAAAGATAAAAAAAATAAGTAACCATATAAAAAGATGATATAAAAAGAGATTAAATATACATAAAAAAATATAATAAAAAGCATAAAAAGAATATATATATATATAAAGATAAAAGGATAAAAAACAAAAACACAAGAGAGAAAAGGAAGATGAAGGGGAAAAAATGATAAGATCACTCCACCACACGAATACCCGCCCTCCGCTTTGCTCTCTCCAAAGTCATACTCTCATCCAACCCAAGTAGAAACATATCACTCCTAACTCCTCTAATTCATGTTTGTTTGTGTCTTCATCTCCCTCTCTTCTTTGCTCCTTCTCTACACCTTTCAACTCGTCTGGCATCTCGATCTTCTACGCACATGAACAAACCACTGCAAGCGAGACTCCCGCGTCTTATCTTCAATAGGTGTTACTCCCACTTTTTGTCTGATTGTCTCATTCCTTAAGCGGTCCTTTCTAGTATGTCCATACATTCAACACAGCTGCGCATATCTGCCACACTCATCCTTTGAATGTGACTTTGTTTCACTGTCTAACAATACGCCATACAGTAATGCAAACCTAATTGTTGTCTTATAAAATTTACCCTTCAGTCTAGTTGGCATACCTCGATCACATAGAAATCCTGATGCGCTCTTCCATTTCATCCACTCTGTTCTGATTCTATGGGATACATCTCCATCTAATTTCCCATCCTTCTGAATTATGGAGCCCAAGTAATGGAACTTATCATTGACCGATACTTCTTTACCATCTAGAGTAATTTCACTATTACCACTGCTTCTACCTCCACCAAACTAACACCTCATCCACTCAGTGTTGCTTTGACTCAGTCTGAAACTCTTATTCTCCGATGTTTGTCATCATAATTCCAAACACCTGATTAAGTCTCATCAATCAATACAATATTGTCGGCAAACATCATGCACCACGGTATATCGTCTTAAATTGACTTTGTAAGTTTATCCATAACTAAGGCAAATAAGAAAGGGCTCAAAGCCAATCCGTGTTGCACTCCGATAGTAATAGGGAACTCTACAGCCCTCCCTACACTAGTACGGACATTTGTAGTACAATCCTCATACATATCCATGATGATGTTGATATACTTGCGTGATATGCATTTTCTATTTAAGGCCTACGAAAGAGCTTCTCGAGGTACCCTATCATATGCCTTTTCTAAGTAAATGAAGTAATGAACATCATATCCAGATCCTTATTAGTGTATCTATACTTCTCCACAAGTTGCCAAAGAAGGTGAATGACCTCGATTGTTGAGCGACCAGACATAAAACCAAATTGATTCTGTGAAATCTTCACATTTCTTCGGAGTTTTTGCTCTATCACTCGCTCCCAAAGTTTTTTAAAGACTTAAAACTTTTTTATTTTTTCTCCAAATTTTAAAATATATATATATATATTTAATTTCTAGAGTTTTTTGGAGCCATAAAAAACACGTAACACAGATTTTTAATCCATGTTGTATCCATAAATAACTTAACTTTACATAAACTCATATTATTTTTTAGTAAAACTGAAAAAAGGTAAAAAAAGAATTACTTATAGTTATGTACTTAATGTTTGAATAAACTGATATGTATAAAAATATGTTGAGTGTATTTTATTGACGGTGCTGGAATGTAGAGAAATAGTATTGATGGAGTCTAAACATTGTTTTCATATCGACGGAGTCCATATTTAAGTTTTTAGACGACACAAGGATGTAGATGGTCTAACCTCAAAGGTCTGGATATTAAATAGTGGTATACGTATACCATATGCCACGAAATAGGATAGTTTATATTTGAAGTAAATAGATCAAAACCCGAAATGACACTAGCTAATAATTTGCAAAATATATACGGCCACGAAACAGAAAAAAGACACAAGGATGATTTAGTGGGTATTTGGCGACATCTAATTTGGCTGAAGTTGCTAAATGAATAAAAAGTAAGGGAAAATAATTAAAATACCCCAAACTTTAGAGTGAGATAAACACACCAAACTTTCATATGTAATTTAAATTCTCCAAACTTTATATAAAATTTATGTTAGCACCATGGTCATATATTATTTCTTTAAAAAATGTAAATTTATTGTGTTAATTGCATAATTTAAAACATCAAGTTAAAAATGTTGCATTTATAGGGTGGGGGTACTATTATTTATTTTACATTGAAAGTTTAGAATGTTAATTGTATCTTCATGAATGCTAAAATATTTTAAATTATGAAATTAACACCATAAACTTACATTTTTGAAAGAAATAATGCATGATCATGGTGCTAAAATAACTTTTTATATAAAGTTTGGAGTATTTAAATTACATATGCAAGTTTGGGGTTTGGGGTGCTCACCTCACACCCCTTCAAAGTTTGGGGTCTTCAATTATTTTTCCCTAAAAAATACTCCCTCCGTCCCGCTAAGATTGTCCCATTTTACCTTTTCAGGAAATCCCACTAAGATTGTCTCATACCAAATTTGGTAAAGTTTGTGTGGCTCTAAATCATTTTAACTTTATTCTTACTTTATCAATTTAATACCAACCACACAAACCCACTTTTCTTAATAATCGTGTCGCCTTCTCTTGTCCCAATCTTAGTGGGACGGAGGTAGTAACACTTTAACCCTTGGTTTTAGGTTTTATTTTCTGCAATGTAACATTATAAAACATTTAATAATTTTTCTGATCATTCAACAAGTTCAGCAATTACGGATGTATTCACCCTTGCCAAATGGGCTCTTAGGCTCTTAGCTTCAAAATACATTTAAATAACGCACATTTAATAAGAACGGGTTTTCTCCAGCAGCGGCGATGACTAAGGCGGCGCACGAACGAGTTGCAGATCGATGACCGAGTAGACTTGCGACGGAGGCGCAGGCCACGCGGCGTGGCATCTGTGCAGGGCAGGTTTCATAGCTCTATTCCATCAGTGAATTTTTTCAAGTTTTTTCTTGTCCGGATTCATTCCGTGGGTTTTGTCCGGCTGAATTCTGGCCGAGTATTTTAGCTGTGGTGTATTGGTGTTGGTTGAGAGTCTTGATTGGCCTTTCGATTGAAGGTCTCTGTTCGAAGTTTTGGTTTGTTTCCGTTGTTTTCCAGTTCTCTTGCTTTGGTGATTATTGTTCTTTTGGGGGTGAAAATGGAGATATCAAAGAAGGTTCATATGTTATCAATTGCCGAGGAAGAGAATAGGGGACTGGTTATTGCTGCTGATCCGTTGGAACAGGAGGGTGGAGCTGTTGAGGGGTATAATCTAGCGGTCGTGGCTCGAGTGGTGACTGACAAACCTGTTCACACTGTTTCTTTCTGTCAAACAATGGCCATGGTCTAGAGGCCAGTGAAAGGAGTCTCTATTGATGAAATTGAGGACTCAAAATTCCTATTACAATTCTATCATGAAGGAGACTTGAATAGAGTTGTGGAAGAAGGGCTTTGGTCCTTTGAGCAGAATTTGGTGGTTATTCGACGATTGGAGCGTACTGATAAACCTCTAGAGGTTGAATTGGACCATTAAGTTATATGACGGTAAAGGCTGCACGTGGTATAGCCAATAGCATTGGCTCCTTTGTACAACTGGATGAGAGCTCTCCTAGCGGAAAACAAAGGCTGGTTATGCGCATTAGGGTCACGTTGAATGTTAAGGTGGCTCTAACTCGACGCCTGCAGGTTAGACAGGAGGGAGACAATTGGACCTGGGCAAATTTCAAATACGAGAGACTCCCAAATTTCTGTTTTCTATGTGGGATTCTAGGTCATGCTGATCGATTCTGCCCCTCCAACCCGCATAGTGGTCTGGGAGATGGGGAGGAGTTCACCCGGGGAACAGATGGCTTATTCCTAGTAATAACAAACCGGGAGATAGGCAAGGAAAAATTGCAAAGCTGGACAGAGAGGCGGGGGATCAGGAGAGCTATTTGGTGGAGGGACTTTTATCAAAGGGGAAGGAGATTGTGTCAACTAGGGATGCGTCTAGGAAGCGCCGGATCACTGAAAAGGAAAACGAGGTGGGGACGCAGGCAAGCATGGATGTTGATGAGGTGGCTTCAAAAAACTTGGAAGTGGCGGTGCTGACCGGGCAGCACCACCAGTAGTGGAAGGAGGCGAGAGCTTGATGGATGTTCCTTTAGCAGAGGCTGGTCAAACCGCTACTCTCTTGCAAGTGGCTGGTCAAACTGGCTTATGTTATTTTTCTGTTTTTTCATCAGTTTTGAACTCTGTTTTGTCTTTTCATTCCCTTTCTAGTAGCAGGAACAACATTGTTGTGCTTAGAGTCTACCACATTGCGGGGTTAGCGAGATGGGCCGCTAGTAAGCGTGTCTCCAGCTCTGAGTCTCACCCTAGTGTAGCCTTTGATATGGCGATTTTGTACCCGGTCTTCGACGTTATTAATGATTAAGTTATCTGTTTCCAAAAAAAAGAACGGGTTTTCTTAAAAAATGGCTTTTTTGCGTGATCACGGTGGCAAAACGAGACTCTACTTGAATAGAAGTCTAAATTGAAGAGTTAAAGAAATATAGAATTGTAGAAACTAAATTGAAGAGTTAAAAATGTATGTGAAACTTATCTTCATAGTTCATATGAGTATATGACTAACTGTTCAAAAAAACCAAGAGCAAGAGAAATCATAAGGAACCTAAGGTAGCACAGTATAACAAAATTGAAAATATTACGGCCGCGATTGCATATGCATTGATAGAACTGCAAATAAGTTCCAAGGCTACTCTTCAGTTCAAATCTATCACACTCACCTCAGTCCTTTGTTTCCTTTCATGATTACAGAAAGCAAGGGTTGTGTCAAAATCTTGCTGAAAGTATTTCCTGCAGATTAATGGTAAAGTAAGTGATTATATAGTGAATAACATCTGAAGTACTCCTACATTCTATTTTATTCACTGTATATAGGAAAATAGGAAATGTGGGATGTATTTTACACATAATAATGCATTCATACTTTCACTATCCCTTGATAAACTTAGGTTGTCATTTTTGGGATGTCCCAAATAAACTTCACCTTTTCTTTTATGGAAAGTGATGTGTTCAGTTGATATTTTTTCTTTCTTTTCTAAATAAATCTCAACCACACAAACTCCACTATCTTAAAATGCATGCAAAAGTGAAGATGGGTTTTTTTAAAGGGCAGAGGGAATATAACATCATGATTATAAGTAAGTACTGATCACTTATTTTACCATTAGATGTAGACGGGATCAAGTATTTTAAGTTTTAACTATTTACTATTATTGTTACCATTATGATGATCATCATCCATCATTACCATTAGTTACAAAAAGACACCAACAGAAAGTGATATCCAATTAGTATTTTATCTCACAGTTGAGGGCTATCGTTTTGGGCATGTTGAAAACGATCACAAGCATCAGCTAGAGGATCAAAGTGATTTTGGCGCTGCTGATTAAGTTGATGGTGTAACTCTGCAACTTTCTGCTTTAGTCTAGCCACATCAGCCTCAGCAAGTGCTATCTCTTCAAGCTCAGCCCTTGTCTATAAAACAGAAATAGATTTTACAAAAAATGCCTTTGATGCATGCAATACAGTAGAGGTGAGTTAATATTTTACTTACTAAGATACATCACAATCAATATAAACAACGAACCTTAGAATCCATACCGCGAGAGCCTGATAACTGCCCAGGAGACATGCTCAATCCAACTTCCAGGGCAGCCCTCAAGTCCCTCTCAGCTTGTAGCTGTTCTTGTAATCTTGCAACCTATTATAAGCAGCGGGCATATTGTATAAAAATGTTGCAAAACATAGTCCAGATATGATTTGGAATTGAGATATCAAAAACCTAATACACAGCAAGGTTCTGCTGAAAACAATCCCCTCCTAGGTGCTGGGCTCCCATTAACCACCTACACTTTTCTGAGTTGATCCCACTTAATTCCATCAATCCTCTACCTGACCTCGCCTATGTGCTAGGCACCAGTCACCAGTCTCTCGTGCACCTAATGCTATTTAGAACGATGTTAACCATGGTTGAACCAAGGTTTAAAATATTGAATTGGTGGAAATAATGTTAGTTAGGCAGCATTGATCATTTTTATTGGCTAAAAAGCCTAATTGAGCATTTTTTTTAAGAGTTCGGGGTTTCAATTGGGTGTTTTTATGGTACGAGTGCCTAATCGACATTTTGGCTATAGCAATGATAGTTTTCCCTAGTTTTTTTTTTATTTTTAGCGATATCAATACTGCCTAATTATTTCCATCATTTGCCATGGAGCCAAAGATTCACTATTTTTTGGCTTGAGAATATGATGGAGTAAAGCAAAATGACTCACTAAACTGTCTGCACTTCTTTGTTATGAAGCAGCAGTCAGTCCATGCAATTTTGGACACGATTTTCACTATGGTCATCCGGAAACAATCTCTCTGTGCTTTAGTGCAGGGGTAAGATTGCGTACATCCGACCCCCCCTTACCCCACCATAGGTGGGAGCCTTTGCGGCACTGGGGTAAATGATGATGATCAATACTGCCTCATCATCATCATCATCTTACAAAATGGCCAGCCCAACTCAAGACTTACATGGCCCAGAACTCTTATTATTACACAATCACAATTATTTACTAAAATTCTATTATTATTAGCATTATTATTATGATAATTTCTGCCCATGTTCCTGTAGTTTTCCGTATATTATTATTGATAGATCTCACTTTTACAAGATGTACAGTCTAAATACTAAACATAAATGAATACAAACTAAAAAGACATCAAGTATTAATTACAACCTGAAGCACTAAAGACCCATAATTACAGCAATAATAAGGAAAGTAAATCCTGGACTAACGATGTCTCTTCGTTTTATCAACATTCCCCCTCAAGCTAGGTTTGTAGATATCTTTCATCCCTAGCTTGACAATAAGATTCTGAAACTAGGACTGTGAAGAGGTTTGGTAAACACATCTGCAACTTGATGCTCTGAGGGAGTGTAGCTTAGTTCAATCAGACCTCCTTCAACCTTTTCTTTGATGAAGTGCCGGTCAATCTTAATATGATTGGTCTGATCATGTTGGACTGGATTATGAGCTATGCTAATTGCTGATTTGTTGTCACACCTCAATTCCATGTGATTCGTAAATCAGAGAGAATAATTCTGATCCATAGAAGTTCACACAGGCCATGGGCAAGGGCTCTTACCTCAGATTCAGCAGATGATCGTGCCATAATTCTGTTTTTTGCCAGAAAACACAGAAACCAGTAGTTGACCGGCGGTCAATGAGAGAGTCACCATAATCTGCATTAGTGAAGGCTTGGAATGATAATTGCCCACCCTTCCTGATACTCTTCCTTGTCCTGGACTTCCTTTTAGGTAGTGTAGAACCCTATAGGCTGCTTCTAGATGCGGTTTCCTTGGGTCATGTATGAATTGGCTTAGGACACTGACTGCATGGGCAATGTCAGGTTTGGTATGAGAGAGATAGATAAGTTTGTCGCACAGACTTGATACATTGTTGAATCAACCTTGGGTTCATCAAGAGCAAGTCCAAGCTTATGATTAGGATCCATAGGTGCAGTAACTGGTCGACAAGCACTCTTACCTGTCTCACTTGGGAAATCTGTAAAGTACTTTTGTTGACTGATAAAGATGCCTTCAGATGAGCGAACGACTTCAATTCCAACAAAGTATTTTAGAGGGCCAAGAGAATTCATCTCAGATTGAGATTTTAGCTGCCTCTCAAGACGATGTTTCTCAACCGGATTACTACCGATCACAATGATGTCATTCCCATATGCTAAAAGAACAGTGACTCCACTTGGGCGAGAGTGTTAGTAAAAAAGAGTATGATCGCCTTGACTTTGACTATACTCAGCAGCAAGAACAACCTGGATGAAGCGGTCAAACCAAGCATGTGGCACTCATCTCAAAAGATAGGGATGATGGAACTCACCTCACTCTTGTTTTTAGCAGAAAAACCCACATGAAACGTGTACAAGTCATCAATAAATGTAACATAACACCGGGCACCAGATATACTGGGTGCTCCATATTATCCATCCGGTTCTCCATCTGCGAGCGGGTGAAGGTCATCCACAGTCTCAGGAGTCATTATGCTCTGACACCAATGACAGAAACCGATCCTCACAGCAAACAGTAAACCAACGTACAACAGCGGAAAATAGAAATAATACCAGTCCAGGTTCTGCCTACCCTTATTCTACTCTCACCTCCTATTTATAATATTTTCCGTACGGGCCGGCCCATAACTAAATAATACCAGGCCTGGACCCCCTTAAACATAATAACACACTATGTAACATTATTCTAATATTCTTCTTATTATTATTATTATTATTCTCTTAAGCCCAGGATCCAATCACCAAATATTTGGGACAATATCAGTTTCGATCGGTATCGATATCAGAACCTCTAAAAAGGAAACTATTGCGGAAAGCTGGAAAATCTGAAGTATATGTGAAATCATTGAGTAGAATTTAAACAGAATTGTGGAATAGTTGGAGCCCACAATCTGGAAGATACATGTCCAATATCCTGTCATAATTGAGAGTTTTCGAACTTAGTGGTTGCATGACTAATGTCCTCCTATGATTTGTTTTAACAATATCTAAACATCTTAAGCCCACTTAATTTACTAAGTTCTTAGATCATCAGGAAGCTAACACAAATTTTCCTGATACAGCAAAAGTAACCATTGTATGTGGTAGATAACTCTCAGAGGTTTTAAAATTATATAATCTGTCTCAAGAAGCTCACCTATTTCTCATAATGTGCATTAGATTCATGTCAAGCCTATTTGTTAAACATGAAAAAACAAACACCGAGCATGTGATGCGGAAAAGAAGGAATAAAAAATATTGCATGAAAACGTACATCTTGTTCCAGTGCCAATCGTCGTTCATGCAATGCTTGTTTCCTTCTCTCAAGGCTAGCCTGCAGAATTGCATTCCCTCTTGCCTAGAGAAGATGAAAGTGGGATTTTAATAAGAAATGTACACAAACCCACAAACCAGCTCTAGCCATATGACCAAATAATATAGTTACCTCTTTCGCAATTCTATGACGCAAGTCATTTTTAGTAGTCTCAAGTCTCTGTATAGCAAGCCTATTAAAAAAATTGTTAAATTCCCCATCATAGAGTATCAAACAAAGAGTGACCACTGAGAATGAATGAAACAAAGGTTTTCACGTGAATATGGAGAGGAAGAGTAGTAGATAGAGCACCACTTTTCTAGTACACTGTACACATCAAAGATTTTTTATCTAAATAAAGCCAGTGTCATAAACTGTTCTTCACTGCCAACAGATGTTAGGTAGTAGTTAATAAGTTTTCTAGTAGACTTCTTTTTTTTTTGAACAGGCTAAGTATTTGATTTGATCTTTTTTTCCTAATAGACTTCAATTATTATGATTTAAATAAAATTGAAGAGTCATAATATGTTCTTAACTGCCAACAAATGCTAGGTATAGCAAAGTCCATTATCATCATCATCACCTTAATGGCTTAATCACAACTATTATGAGGCGAGTGGGAATTTCATCTTCATAACGTCAATTTAATCACAACTGCGATGTCATATGTCCATTCATGTTAGCCGACCCCAAATTATTTCAGATGAAGTCTTGGATGTTGTTGTAACGCCAATTACATAATTAATTGTCTAAAATTGCTAAACACTAAATTTAGGCAAAACTTAAGGCTAGATGCCCTTCATGTCACAACCTTCTAACGAATAATGAAATGAAATCCTAATATTCTCAAAACCATGTGTTTTAGCCACTTGTATGAATAACATCATGAGAGGACAATGAGTTGAGATAGAGGCAATAATCACGTCCAATTGCAAAAATAAAATTGTATAATCGCCATTCACATCGTGGAGCATGACTAAGGTGGTGTTCTCTTCATTTAATTTTTGCTTATTATCTATTTTCATTTTATTTTCCATCATTTGCAACGGAGCCAAAGTTTACCTATTTTTGGCTTGGGAATATGATGGAATAAAGCAAAATGGCTCTCTAAACTGTATGCGCTTCTTTGTTATGAAGCAGCAGTCAGTCTATGCAATTTTCAACACGATTTTCACCATGGGTCATCCGGAAACAGTCTTCTTGCTTTAGTACATGGGTAAGACTGCGTACATCCGACCCCCCCTTACCCCACCGTAGGTGGGGAGCCTTTGCGGCAATGGGGTAATGATGATGATGATCTGTTCTCATTTTAATCAAACTGGAGCAAACCAGAAACGCCCAAACAGACAAAAAAAATCAGACCAAACAAGAACAAAAAGATTCAGATGAGACAATATATCATATTTCAGACAGAAATGTAGACAAGATCTGAAACAATCAAACAATCATATCAGACCAGACCGGAAATAATAAGACAAAATCAAACCACACAAAAAATATTCAGACCATATGAAATCTTAAAAAACATATCAGATCATTTGTTGGCTAAGAGAAGTAATGAACAAGATCTACAGAACAGAGTGCAGCAGTAGAAGAGAATATGAACTGTCTGCTACTAGGACAAGTGAAATGAAATACCAATAAATATTATCCGAGAAGATTATGCAAAAATAAGATATTCAGTGAAAGATGATAAGTAAAGCTTTAGAAAATAGTGTCTCATTTAGTAAGATGATTTAATAATGCTCTGAAATGTTTGAGCAAACGAGCTTGTTCTAGTTTTTGAACATTTGATAATATTATAGAAAGAGAACATACTCTTCCTCTCCAGAAGAATCAACTGAATCCACTGATGGAGTCTTTCTTGCCTGCGCAATAGAGAAGTCTCATCATCAGATACAACAAAGAGTTTGAATCCAACAGACATTCTAAAGAAAATAAAAGTTTGACAAATGAGCAATGGTTCTTATGAGAGCATTCATTCAATCAGATTTATCATTAAAACTTACAAAAATAAACAGAAACAAAAAGTACAATAAACAAACTAAATTGGAATCATGTCTTCTGAAGCAAAAAAAAACGGTATGCGGGCTCGTGGTAACAAAAAAATCATGGAAACCAACACTTACACTGTTTCGGCCCCAGAATGATGATCTTTTGACATTGAGATGGGGGGAAGTTAATTTACTGGAGGACCTCCCAATGGGTGAATTTTTCCCAGAGGAAGGATGAAATAGCCCTTGATCCATAGATGAAAGTATTTCACCCATAGACCGCTGAGATCCATTATTTGTTGATTCAGAAGGAGTAGCCCTCCCACACTCAGATGTCCTTTTATGTCGGTCTAGGCCGCCCAGCTGTTCACTAAATAAAATGTTTGAATCTGTAGCTGGCTGAGAGTCTGCAGTTGGTTTAAACTCAATTCCAGCTGTTTGATTGTTCCTTGGAGAGTCAAAATCTGAATCATCACCTCCAAATGCCTGAACTCAATAAACAAATGCACCTTTAACGCAAATGGTTAATACACTGCATAAGCAAAAGAAAATACAAACTAAGTAGTATGCACGACGATGTTTTCAGGGAGCTAAAATTCTTGTGCTTACCCTTGTTTTACAGTTATAATAGCTAAAAGAATTCATAAATTAAAATTAGAATGGTTGACCACACTCATGTAGTCGTGTTGTGAATATGCTTGATTTCAGTTCTTTACGTTTTTCTAATTGAGTGATATGTGAATTCCTAAATTGAGATCAGAGTGGTTGTCTAAACTCTTTTGAAATATTCACTTGATTTCTCGACTCCTATGTTTTTCTAACTGTACAACATGCAACGTGATATGTTATTAAAACTCAGCCACTGTAGTACACGGACCATAAAATGGAGTCAATGAGTTTTATTAAGGCGGTGTTTGGAATTGATTATACTTCTGCTTCTTTTTAAAAAGCAGTAGAATCAAAATCAGTTTTTCAAAAGCTTGCCTCCCCCAGCTTATCAAAAACGGCTTCTAAGAGCAATTTGGAACACTCAGAAGTGCTTCAGCATTTTCACCCAAACACTTCAATATATGCTTGTGCTCTGTGAAGAAGCAGAGGCAGTTTTAAGAAGTAGATCCAAACACCCCCTAACTTGTTAAGATATGCGCATAAAATGGATGCCCTCAAGACCGAAGACCTTTTACCAAGGCAACACCTTATTGCCTCCTATTGCAAGAAAGTGTTGCTGTCTATCTGAACTCAAATTTATTATTGGCATTATGGCCGACTTTGCCAGATACCTAACATAATCTAATTATAAGTGCATCATGAGCAAAACTGAATAGAAAATATATGTATGCAACATAGGAACTTGTTTATAGCATAGACATGCCGTATAACTGAAAGATTTGCCTCTGTGGGGAATAGACATGTCATATAAATGAAAGATTTGCCTCTGTGTGGGAGTAGGGGTGGGTGGGGGAGAACCTTGTAATCATAAAGATCACTGGCAGCAGAGCTACTGCTGTCACTTAGCTTTCCACTAAGTACACGATCATGATCATCATCTGATTCTTGCAAGGCCTCATTTTCAGCATCATGATAACCAATGCCTTTCACCTCCAAACTCTCCTCATCACTTGAATCTTCGCTGCCACTGTTTCCAATGCGTGAATCCGCTGAAATAGAGCATCGATGTAGATTATCCTCCTGAGAAAAGGAAAAAGAAAAACTGAACATCAAGTACATCAGAGAGGGCGATATAATTTAATCACTTAAGCTGCACACAATACAAACAGTTAGTATAGGTAAAAAAGAATCACAAGATTACTAGTTATTTTCTTGACATTGCAAAAGTTAGTCAGGGTACAGCTATAGTGGAGTTGCTAAAAATATGTGGCTGCACAGTCATATACATGGAGGCACACTACACCAACCAATATGCAAGAACAGATCCCCAAAATGATGGGATACAGAAGTATAAAAGAGATTAGGTAACAAGGCTTGGATGACTAACAACTTTTATGGATTAGTTTACCAATGATTTGGAGTTGAGACTAAACCCATCTTTTACCACAACACCAACAACAACTACAACAACAACCAAGCCTTATTCTGAAAAGATTTTGGGGTCTGCTAACATGAATCGATCCATGATATCGGAGCCATAACGAAAAGAAAGATAAGAAAAATAAAAAGATAAAGTAAGATAAAAAGGATAAGATGAAGATAAACATAAATACTCCGTATATAATAAAAGAACATAAGAAAGATAAACAATAAAAAATAAGATAAGAACATAAGAAGATAAAGAAAATGAAAGAGAAAAGAGATCAATCTTCCACACGAATATTCGCCCTTCACTTTGCTCTTTCCAAAGTCATACTCTCATCCAACCCATGAAGAAACGTTTCACTCATGATTCCTCATCCACGTCTGTTTGGGTCTTCCTCTCTACCTCATCCATGCCTCTTCTCCCCACCTCTCAACTCGTCTAACAAGTGCATCATTCGGTCTTCTACGCACATGACCAGACCACCACAATCGAGACTCTTGCATCTTATCTTCTATAGGTGACACACTAATACTCCTACCTTATGACTGATTATCTCATTCCTCAAACAGTCTTTTTTGGTATGTCCACGCATCCAACGCAACATACGCATCTCTGTCACACTCATCTTTTGAATGTGACATTGTTTCACCGCCCAACACTCTACGTTACACATTAATGCAGAACTAATTGTTGTTTGATAAAATTTACCCTTCACTCTACGAAACCTATCTTTAAAAAAAAAAAAAAAAAAAAGAACAACAAATTGAACCTGAGCATGAAAGAAAACATTGAGTGCCATATTGGCGATCAGCTGATCATAACAGGTGGAAAATCAAGTGGTAAAGAATAGTACTTATAATACGAGTAGTTATTTTTCAAAAAAAAATATCAAAAATGTCAGAATAAATAGTACAAAAATAATTTATCTAACAAAGCGCAAAAAACACATATCATATTTTCAATTAGGCATTGACTAGTGAAGCAATGCAAGAAATTAGAATACATAGAGAGAGGAAGGTGGGCGAGAAAGTAGGAAAGAAATAAAATATAGCTTGATAACTTACGCTTGAAGAATCCACAAGAATATCAGCAATAATATAGTGGTCGCAGAATTAAATGGTCAAAGAGCAGCTTACATCAAAAATATTCTCGTACTCCTCTAAGAGTGTTGTAATGATAGCTTGGGCATTATTAGCAGCATTAGCAGCAGCAAGAATCTGTGCCGAGTTGTCACCATTGGAATCAAAATCATCCTCCAACTCACATTCACCAGCTAATAAAGGTCGCAAAAGCAATGGTGCCATACATGCAGCTACAGCGGATGAATTCATCCTATTCTCAGAAGCATGTGAAGAGATTGTATACATCATCTTCACAATTCTACAAAAAGATAGACAATAGGTCACCAATATAAGCAAAACAAAATTAAAAATCTCTAACATCATCTGCTTTCCTACTTAAAATGTGACACGTGGATAAAAGTTCCAAAGCCTCCAACTACATTAGAGTTAAGCCCAAGAAGAAGCCAAAGAAATCATTCATGCCTTCCTGCTACACAGCATCCATGGTCTGACCATGTACCTTGGGGTTTGGTAATCAGAATACGTGGTTTTGAAATTTTTATTTTCTATCTTTGCCTTGCATATTGGGTTTTAAATCAATACATTGGCATCATTTGTTAAAAAAAGTCACCAAAAAAAAAGGCAAAACAACATCGTAGATGGTAAAAAACACATTCAGTAATGACCATTTATTTCAGAGACATGCATCATATATTTAGCCTTTTCGGTAACCTAGCATAGAGTTTCCTGGGCTACTTAGCATCATATCAAAAGCAACCCACAACTCCCTAAAGATTAAAAAGAGTGATTTATATGTACTTGAAATGCACACTATACCCACAAAGACAATACCTCTGTAGTAACCGTCGGTTGGGTTCAGGAAATGTCTCAACTATTGCAGAGCGGATAGCATTCAACCGAGCTTCTTTCCTATCAATTTCTTTTGAAAATCCAAGGAAACACATTCCAGTTAGAGAAGAATGAAAGGTTCATGAAAACATTTGTGTGCAATTCTGCATTTCATTATAATGAAAAGAATCCAATCGAGAAATCTATGATGTAGGAAACAAAAATACACATGTGAGGGTATTCTATCTGACACCAGACACTATTTGAACACAAGTATATTCCATCATAAGACAAACACTCTTAACTCAGAAGATTTTATATATATGCATAATTGAATCTATTATCAATGAAGTGATACTACCTCCCTGTCCCCGCTATCTTTGGGGTGTGAGCATATTTACAAAAGTGAAATTACATGTTTGCTATTAAATTTGTAAAGTATGAATGAATTTGAACCACACAAATATTAACAAATTGTGGTATGAGACAATCTTAGTCGGACAAACAATAAAGAAAATACGGGACAAAGATGGTGGGGCAGAGGGAGAAGTATTTAGTATATTTCAAACATAATGTGATCCAAAGAAATACAATCTCCCATCCATCCTTAATATAATTTGGTTTTCAAACTTTAAAAAATGGACAGGTAAGAGAACAATTGTTTTCCTCTAAGATGAAAAATGTGCACTCTTTATTCGCTAGCTTATACAACAATTGTTATGCTTCAATTTGCAGGCGAATATTCTAGGCTAGGGTCAGCAGCCAGTTTCTACACCACTGCATGCAAACTTGAAAGCATTTGTGCAGCACAAATCATACAACCTACCTTCTAGGCATTACCAACAATGTCTGCAAGTTACTTTGGTACAACTACAAGATCTAAAAGCTTTATAAGGAGACAATCTTGTAAGATAAGATCACTGTATATCTTGAAAAGAGAGAAGAAAATGAACCAACCGACGGTTGGCAACCGTAATAGTATTTCGGTGGCTAAAGAAAGATAATCAAACATATTTGGTGAAGGATTAACGTACTGTATGCCTCCAACAATGCAGTGCAGCAAGATGCAGGAACAGGAGATGATGGCAGCTCGCGCAGTACATGCTGAACAATGGTAGTGCCAGTGAGTACTCTCATTCAAAAACCACAGATAATAAAATTGATAATAATAAGATTTGAGGTAACAACCAATACCTTCACGCAGTCACCAATTACATGGGCATCCTCATCTGAACCAAATTCAGTCTTACCTACACAGAAAGGCTTGCTCAATTTCAGCTTTGGAGAACACACCATTAAGGTAGGCGACTACACGAATAACTTAAATTCTGAATTATTAAAAAATCTGGAGGAGTTTATAGTTTGGACCTTGCTCGTATGCTTTTACCCTTTGCTCTACTTCCTCTACATCGGCAGATTGTCGCAATATCCCTTCAACTTTCGTTCCTGTCAAAAATCCAAAAAGGTCAAACAATAAATTAACAGGGAGCTACACATGTTGCTGCCTTTGGAGAGATACACATCATAGATCAATATAATGCAATAAGAATAGAAAGTGTGATCTAAAAACAACATCCAAGCCTTAGTCTTTCATCAATGGGGTGATGGGGTCTACATGACTATCCGAACCACTATTAGATAGAGCCATAGAGGAATAAAAACAAACATGGGGAGCTTAAGAAAATTAATATCATCTAGAGTCAGCTTTGTTAAAAAGAATAGAAGGCTTTAATACAAATGTATTATCTGCTTGGAATGTGGAGTTACCTGAACACTAATAGAAATAAATAATTGCAGACATCACGGTCACCCATATAGGGTATAGTAGTTTATGGCAATTTGTTTCTAAATGGAAACATGTGTGTGTGTGTGTGTGTAAACATAGGATCCTTCTACTAAAGTAAAGAAGATGAGAATTACTCAAATTCTCACCTTTACTTATATTTTGTCAAAGGGGATCAATTGTGAGCTTACCATGCTTCTCAAGAAATTTAAGTGCCTTTTCGAGGAAGGATGGGCCACCATCTATGTCTTCTAGGGCAAGCAAGATTGGCCGTCCAACAACCAAAGACTTAACATGACGCTTATCCCTCCCTGCATAAATAAGAACCCAGTAGAGTTGCAGATCTTTGGTAGAGAGGAAAAAATGTGAACTTTATTTGATTTAATAATAAATGGGGGGGATCAATAGATAATGATAACAAATGTACATACAATGATGGAAAGACCCCTCCACTGAATCGCCATTCTCACTTCGAAAAATGCCATTGTGTCCCATCACAAGTGCAGCATTGGGCGCTTGAGCAAGAGCATGCTCAAGAGCAGTCTTCCACTCATACAAATCTTCTGATGTTTCAGCCTACATAAAATACTTAGGGTTTGGCAAAGATAAAAATTCCTTAAATAGCACAAAGGCCAATATTGTGTGCATTTGTTTAAGTATTTGGGTAATCAAAAGAGCACCTTAAGAGTAAATGCCCGACCATCACGTCCATCAGGGAAGAGTACAGTTAGCAGTTTTTTATCATCTCTAACAACCACACTGCATTTGATGTACTAAGGTAAGGTCGTAAGGATTAGAAATAAATTAAAATATAAATGATGTGCCAGTAACTAGTAATTACCTTCCAGAGTTATTTAAGTCTATGCCTCCCAAAGTCAGATTAACTTCGCCACGGGGTTGTGGAAGGGTACTCTACACAATATGTCATTTTACATTTTGTAAGGTTCGTGCACCTTATTGGCATAAGAAAAATGGGCAAAAACTCAAATACAACAATGTTAATCCTCTCATCATTTTGCCACGGGGTTGTGGAAGGGTACTCTACACAGTATGTCATTTTAAATTTTGTAAGGTTCGGGCACCTTATTGACTCCAACGCCTGTCGGAGTCAATGGTATTGAGGTAGGTCTTGAACTCACAATGCCAAAATAGACGGCTTCTTCAATGAGCTCCTACTTGGAGAACATTGAAGGTTCAGCCTTGTTGGCATAAGAAAAAAGGCAAAAACTTGAATACAACAATGTTAATCCTCTCACCATTTTGCCACGGGGTTGTGGAAGGGTACTCCGTACAATATGCCATTTTAAATTTTGTAAGGTTCGGGCACCTTCTTGACTCCAAAGCCTGTCGGAGTCAATGGTGTTGAGTTGCATCTCGAACTCATGATGCCGAAACAGACGGCTTCTTCAATGAACTCCTAATTGGAAAACCATCGTGCAGTCGAATGGCGAACCACCGGACTGAAGTGTACGGATGGTGGTCTCAAATAGCTTGTTGTCGACGTTCAGTTTAACTCTATGTTGTAAAAACCAGACCGGGAGGCAACCCGTACAAATGCCCGTGCCAAGGGTCAACCCGTACAATATATATATAGAGAGAGAGTAGCAATTCTGGCAAGCCGGCCTGATAGGACCCGCTGTCCGGCCAAGGCAATTTGGGGCCCTTCACGATTGAATTTTTTGATAAACTTTGTTGAGCATGTTCATCAAGTCTAGTTTATGCCCATCGAATTTCAGCTTAAAATTCAATCAGGAAGGCAGTTAATTAAATTATTTAAAAACATTGTGCTTTTATATATGTAAACAACGCAATGTTTTTCAATTCCACATTTGACCGACTTCCCGATTGAATTTTTAGCTGAAATTTGGTGAGCATAAACTAAACTAGATGAAGAACATGGTCAAAAAACTTTATTGAAAAAATTCTACCGGTAAGGGCCCCAAATGGCTTTGGCCAGATGGCAGGTCCTGTCAGGCCGGTCTGATATGGACTCCTGCCATATATATATATATAGAATAAAGATCAAATGAGAACAATGCTTAACGTGAGAACGTGAGAACACCACATTTACCCCAACGTGTTGCACAATGAAGCTTGTATATTGCACTTTTTCATGTTTTCACAATAATCACCAAAATGCCACCGTGTTTATTTTAATATAGGCTTAAATCGAGCAAATTGAAAATGTGCAACAGAAGAGCTCCATTGTGCATCACATTGTTTTAAATGTGAGTGTTCTCACGTTCTCACGTTAAGCATCGTTCTCATTGGAACCGCACCCTATATATACATATATGTATATGTATATGTATATGTACATTATAATGTATGGTTAAATCGTAAACTAAAGAAATCCTTCCTAATAAAAATATTATTATCTAGTACACAATTTTTAAGTAAACCATGAATGTATATAAAATTAGAGGAACAGAAAAATAAACATAATATGTAGTAGTAATTACAAAATCTTAAAAATCTTGTATAAATGTGTTTTGCACTTATATTTGGAATATTTTATACGTATCAGGCAGTATATAATTACCATATTATGTATCATAAGTTTTCATATTATTATTACTAACTATTAATTAATATAGGAGGGCATATAAGCATATTTGACACTTTTCTCAATTAAAAAAAGATAAGATAAAGATAAAGAATATAAAGATAGAAAGACAAGATAAAAAGAGAAAAGAAAAGAAAGATAAGAGAGATAAACAGATGAGGTAACATAAAAAGGATAAGATAAAGAGGATAAAAAGAAAATATATAAAAGAAAAAAAGATAAAAAGATAGAGAACATAAGAAAGATAAAGATAAAAAGGATAAACAGAAAAGAGAGAAAAAGGAGAGAAAAGAAATCAATCCTCCAGACCAATATTGGCTCTGCATTTTGCTCTCTCAAAGTCATACTCTCATCCAACCCAAAAAAAAGCATATCATTTTTCATTCCTCTAATCAACGTTTGTTTGGGTCTTCATCTTCCTCTCTTCTCCGACTCTTCTCCCCACCTCTCAACTCGTCTAACATTTGCATCACTCAGTCTTTTACGCACATGACTAAACTACCACAATCGATATTTCTACATCTTAGCTTATATAGGTCCTACTCCCACCTTTTGTCTGATTATCTCATTCCTCAAACGGTCTTTTCTAGTAGGTCCACACATTCAACGCAACATACGCATCTCTGTCATACTCATCTTTTGAATGTGACATTGTTTCACCGTCCAACACTCTATGGCATCCAGTAATGCAGGCCTAAACTAAGTCCAACAAAATTTACCACTCAGTGTAGTGGGCATACCTCGACCGCATAGAAATTTCGATGAAATCTTCCATTTCATCCACCATGTTCTGATTCTATGGAATACATCTCCATCTAGTTCAACATCCTTCTGAATTATTTAGCCCAAGTAACGAAACATATCACAAATCAATATCTCATTGCCAACAAACTTGCACAATTGCATTTCATATATCCAATCTTACTTTGACTCAATTTGAAACCCTTGGTCTCCAATATATGTTGTCATACTTCCAACTTTGCTATAACACCCGATTGTGTATCAATCAATACAATATCATCGGCAAACATCATGCACAACAGTATATCATCTTGAATTGACTTCGTAAATTCATCCATGACTATAACAAATAAGAAAGGACTTGAGTCAATCCTTGGTGCACTACGATAGTAATAGGGAACTCTGTAGTCCTCCTTACACTAATATGGACACTTATAGTACAAGCCTCATACATATTCATGATGATGTTAATATACTTCCGTGATATGCCTTTTCTATTTAAGACTCACCAAAGGACTTCTCGGGGTACCATTCATATGCCTTTTCTAAATCAATGAACACCAAATGCAGATCATTTTTAGTGTCTTTATACTTCTCCACACCTTGCTTAAGAAGGTGAATGGCCTCGATTGTTGAGCGGCCAGACATATTCAAACTTCTTCAAAGTCTCTCAATCACTCACTTCCAAAGTTTCATGGTGTGACTATAAGCTTAATTCATTAAAAGTTGGTACATTCGTGTACATCACCCTTATTCTTAAATAGAGGAATAAGAGTATTCTTCCGCCTATTCGTTAGCATTTTGTTATTTCTTCAAATCTTGTTTAAGAAGCATATTAACCACTCAATGCCTCTCTCCCAAACTTCTCTGGACCTCGATCTATAGGCCATCTAGACCCACTACTTTCTTCTATCATCTTTCTCAGAGCCTCTTTAACATTAGTCATTTGGATCCTTCTCACAAAATCATGATTTACCATACAATCAAGTATAGTAAGATCATTTATACCTTGTGCTTTATTCCCGTTGAACAAGGTACATACTTGTCACGGCGTCGCCTAGTCGTCAAATTGCAGAAGAAGATTAGTCGTCTCTGGCGTCGTCTAGGCGTAAGCATGTCATCCGGGCACAGTCCTGGCGTGAGGGGGAGATTTGAAATCTCCATAAATTCGTCTTTTGAAGCTCAGTCCAAAAGGACAATTGTCGACCCTCAAACTCAAAGGTCAATCGACGACCCCTAAAGGCGAAGCATCGCTAGTCACTAGCTACTTCTCTATTGCGTGCCTCGGTCGTAAGGTTGAAGTTGAGTAGACGACTTGTAGTTGTTGCATGCCTGTGTTGCAAGGTTGATGGCGATGTCCACTCCTTCTCTAGCTTTTTAATTCTATCGGTTATTCACTTATCAATTTAGTCTTTATCAGGCTTCTTATTTCATTATATTAACATTAATATATTTTATATGCAGTTACTCACCAAGCAGTATACCCACTATAGTTTTACATAGTTCAATTTTAATATTATACATGTATAATTCGTATACATTACACAATATGTATAGATACACACTACAGTATAATTAGCAATGCATATAACTTGTATATTAATACATTAGATATCTAATAAATTAGGTATATTTATTTATTAATTTTGAATTTAATAACTTGTATATTGATAAATTAGGCGTACTAATAGATTAATAAATTAATAGGATGTTAAATATAACTATATACATAATTATACATAATATATTATACAATGTGTGATTAGTCGCCTAATTGTCGCCTAGGCGGGCGATTTATCGCCTAGGCGATATGGCGGTCGACCGATGTTGCGACTCGCCTTACCTCCGTGACAAGTATGACAAGGTATCAAAGTATGGCCTTCACCTCTCTTTTATTTCCCCGTCCTCCATTACCCTTTGATTGACATCATTCACGCACTTAATTTTTGTGATATCTTGAGTTATACGATCACAAAGACGAGCAAGTTTGCAAATATCTTTCTCCTTCGATAGAGTAACTTTACATACAACTCTTGGTTCACTTTTGCTCGTGCTTTCTTTACGGCTTTTTCGTCTTTTGTTTTAGTCTCCTTGTACTCATCTATGCTCATTGCTCCAACTTTTGCCCAACTTTTTGTAACATTCCCTTTTGTTCTTTATAGTTTGTTTCACCTCATCATTCCACCAAGATGTGTCCTTTTTTGTGGCAGACATCCTTTAGATTCTTCAAGTATCTCTTTCATCACTTTGTTAATCGTCAACTCCATTGATAACCAGACATGACACATCGTCCACATGTGTATCATTATTAATATAGCAAACATCCCCACCCAACATTTTGTGTGCAAAGCTTTGTTGGAGGTCCTCCTCGAGCATCCATGACTTTATCTTTGACTCCATGTGTTGCTTAACCCGACTTTTATACTTCTTACCTTGAAAATAAAGCATAAACATCCAATGGTGAGTGACAACACTCTCTGGGATAATAAGAAGTAGTCACTTTGAGTACTATTAACTCTATTTCTATATGTCACAATGTTAGAGTCTCTTTTTGAACCAAGTGTTCGTTATAGCCAACTCATATGTCGAGGAAAAATCCAAATTATTCTTTATCGTCTCATTTCTAATGCCAAAACCATGTCCGCCATGGGTACTCTCAAAACCATCACGACTCGAATACATGTGCCTATTGGGGTCGCCTCCTATGACCAGTTTTTCTCTTGACACTCGTCGCACCACTTTCTCAATATCTTCCCAAAATTATTGAGTGATAGATGGATCCAATCCCAGTCGAGGTGTATAAGGTATGCACTTACCACAGACGTCATCTCATCCCCTATCAACGATTCAATACTCATGATGGGGTCGTTCTTCCTAAAGACTTCCACCACACCCTCAACATAGTCACACGCCACAATAACCTTACTCCATTTCGGGTCTTTTCTCTCCGTGAATACTACAACTTAAAACCTTCAAGATTAATCCTATGTCCCTTTTCTCCAACTCATTAAGTTTCTTACACACATATAATGATGATATTCCTCCTCCTTGTAACCTCGGCTAGCTCAGATGATTTTCTCATAAGAGACCCAACATTTTGTGTCCCAAAGCGCAATCTAGCACCCCGCCTTCTATTCTTAACACCATCAGGACCGCCCACCATGTCCTTGCATATTTGACACCATCCATGGGCATTGGAGTGGCGAGTTGCTTCCGAGCGACAACCTAGCAACCTTAGCATTCTTATGAACACACTGAGGCCTATGAAGTATAGCATGCCCTTAGCATATTTGACACCACCCAGGTTGAGGGATGATGCGTCGATAAAGAACATGAGAAAGATAAAAAAGCTTTAAAAACTAATAAGCTCAACAACAACAAAATCAAACGGCATTTATCAAACATTACTCGCAAGTTATTGGATTTTTCTAGTCAAACCTTTGCATATTCTAATGTTAGCGTATAAACACAAAATGTGTAAGGGGATAGTTCATAGTAAAAAAATAAGTCCCTTAGAACTAGAATGTGCAGTCAAATTAACATGTAATTAGTTAGCTTCTAAGTTCTAAGTTTAGATAACGGGAATAATTACTAACAGGGTCATTTTTGAAGAAAACCAAAGATGTGCGCGTAAGAATAAACCAACGCTTTTTCCAAGACTTCCAACCTAGTCCTGCAAACATACCATGTTAGTTTGAGGGATGTGAAGACTAATAGGTGCAACCAAACTCTTGGTTCAAAAAGCTTTTTAGGAACTAGACATATTAAAACAATTACAAAAGAATTAGCATGTTCTCAAAACATAAATTTTAAAAATTTACAATCTGGACAATGATGGAATAAGAAAGAGTAACAGTGTTTCCAAAAGCATGTAGGCATGCCATGGCCAACCTTTTGGATGAAGAGGCAAGTAAGGCAAATGAAAGAATACATGAAAGGGTTAAATCCAAAACATTCACGTTTTACTGACCTTTTGAAGAGATGAATAGTGGCCCGCTTTTGAATACCTGAATATGGCACCATTGATTTTCAAACAAAAAGCACAAACTATGAAGCAATAAGTAAAGAACCAGAAACAAGAAAATAATTTTAGTAGTGGAGTTTCATAACATTTATCTTTACTCCTGAGACAGTTCCTACTTTAAGTTCTATATAATATGTTTGATTAGGCTATGGGTAGGAAATGGTGCAGTGAGGGAATGTTGTTGATTTGTCAAAAACCGACATTAAGTAAGAGTGTAAGACACTAAGACCTACCTCACTTAGTCTCTTTAAAGGGAACTCGGGTATTTCTGGCATTCTTTGAACATTTCCCTAAACCGTTCTCTTTCCCCAGTCTTACTCTAATATGCTCTAACAAGGAGTGAGCTCTAAAAGCATTCTACAGTACTAAAATAAGAAGTAAAAGTAAAAAAAGATAGATGCTTAAAGATTTAGAAGCAGTACCTGAGACATAAGGTCACTTATAAAATTTGGTGCTAATAAAAAATTGCACCAAAATCAAAACCAGTCCATTTTATACGTTCCCGCCATCCCTAAATTATGTTATCACTTTCCTTTTGGGACATCCCAAAATTGAGCTCATACTTCCTTTTTGGGTAATATTTGACTGTTTCTGTGGTAAAAGACTGTCTTAACCCTATGAAAGGTACACCATTGATGACTCACTCCCACCATATCTTTAATGGGGACAAATTTAAAAAGTCAACACAACCCGTTATCTTGCCCAAACACCCGTGAAGTCAACCTAGTATCTAAATTTGGGGAGGAGGGAGTATAAGAGTATATGTTTGAGTGTATATATATCCACATCATTTCACAGTACGCAAATGAAATGGTTTTGCAGTAGCAGTGAGCTGTCTTCTGGTGTACACAAACAATACTGATAAAAAAAAATGAATCATTGTGTATATTTTGTTCATCCAGTAAAATGAGTAAATTGACAGCTAAATTTGCATCATCTCCGAATTGCAGGCCCATACATACATTTCAATAGCAAGAGATCGTTAATTGCCCGATTTGACAAATTAGAGCTTTGGAAAGAACTCACGAATTACGATTATCCTTCTTCTACCACATACGAGCTATGGTCAATGCTAGTCCAACCACCACGTCAAGTACTTGTGGCACAAAATTGAACATAAACGAAACTAAAGACTTGACCATTGACAGTTCTTATATGACTTCAGCAAGTAAAGCGCAATCGATTGAGTGCACAAGTATAGAAGTGTTTTGCTAACAATAAAAAACATCGTTGTGTACACTGGTTCAGATACCGTACCGCATTAGATGTTCCCACTCGAGGCTGCTCTGATGAGGCGAGCGAGGCCGACATTTCCATGAGTCAGTCAAAAGTGAAGGACATGACAGCTGAGGCTCGGAGATATGAGCTATGGCAGAGATCCAGGAGTCGGGCCTGGTGATTTGCGGGTTAGAAGTGGAACGCAGCTGCCGCAACCAAACCAACAGAACTTCACTTTCTGAGTCTCTTTTAAGTCTTTTTGCTCGCTTGATAGTGGATGAAGAATTCGGGCAAGTCTCAAACCATCTCAAGATGATTGTCTAGTGTCTTTGTCCCATTTTATCTCACAAATTTTAAATTTTATGTGCAGATATCCATATGTATTTTAATTTTTTTCTTTATAGATTCTAACACACTTTTCATCCACTTTTACCCTCTCAATTCTTGTATAAGTCTATTTGAGGACATTGTTTTAGACATTAGATATGTTTGTTTTTTGGCGTTTTCCACTCCAAACGTTGAAAATACCAGCATTTTCTTAACAAAAAATGGCGTTTTGCCCTTACATGCCAGAATCCAAACAGCCCCAATGTCTACAATTTACTTCTATCTCTATCTTCCCCGTGCATACCACTTTCTCTATATTAAAATAAAATAATGATCTTGTCTCTATCTTTCCACTATGTCACGTAGGATAGGCTTTACTCCAATCCACTACACCATTGAGGATGTTCCGACATTTGTCCTGTCTAGGTTGGGTGATAAATCCAAAATTAACGGTAAGATCTCTGGTTAAGAAAATTAGGAACCGGAATAAGGTCCATTATATTAAGTCTGAGATGAGGCTTTTATAGCTCAGGTTCAGTTTGGGTTTGGGTAAGAACGGTTAAACCTGAACGGTGGCCTCCATTCTCGGGGAATATGAGCGGCAATGATCCTCATAAAGAAAGGGGAAGCGAGGCTGATACGAGGCTGCACCGAATTTGTCTGGTGATTCAACTGATCAATCTCCTTTGTAACCTGGGCAACATCACATCCAATGTCGTAGGAACACGGGGCGCGGGGTGTGCAATCACTGCTTCCGCCCCCCGCGCGGGCTTGTCTGACAATGTGCTGCCTTTAGATGATGTGGATATTGTTCCCCTCAATGTACTGGAAACGGCGGACTACATTGTTCATCGTGGGAGTTGACTCTCTGGTCTAGGTACTGTTGCGTTGGACCACTGTGGTTTGGTCTGTCGCGGTGTGTCGTCGATGCCTTGGGACGCCCGGGTGTCTTTGACCTCCCATGTCATGGGAAGCCTGTGATCCGCTTAGTCACGAGTGAACTGAGGTACGAGAGGCCTCGGTCTCATCAGTATGTTCCACAAAATGTTGCATACATCATATGGGGAAGGGGCGTACGCTCGATTTTCACCGAGTAGACGGTCTGCTCTGCGTCGTTTTGGTCAGCCATGTGTTGCCTGGCCTCCGCCAATTCCCTCATAAGTCATAACTCGAGGGTCCCTCCTGGCCTCAAGGAGAATCGGGTTTGTGACATCCCAGTTATTGCCCTAGTGGGTGAAGACTCTGCGGATGTCAGGGTGCGTATCCGCCTGTTGTTCGTCAACTGTTCGGAGAGGTATCAAGTGTGTTCAAAGAAGAATCTGACCATGTTGCTTGTTGATGAGTTCAAAAAGATGTTGCTTAGCGCAAGAGCTTTGCTCGAGAATTTTTTGTTCAGTTTCCCGCATACGACGCTAGTGTTGAGGTTAATTCCTCCAACTCCGAGTAGGGGTGAGCACAGTCCGGTTCGATCCAATATTTTGTCGAAGTAGAGGTTAATACCCGTATCGTGACTATTGAAATGGTTCGGTTCGGTTTGGTTTTGGACTTAAACCCATTTGGTACGGCTCCATATTCAAACGGGGCGGTACCATGTCATACCAATACCAAACAATGCCACTTTTCCCAGGTATTTAAGGAAAAATTAATGTTTAGCCATCCTCCAAAAATACACAAAATTTATCAATTTTCATATTACATAATACATACTACCTCCGTCTTAAATTGATTTGCAAAGTCAACCTTTTTTTGGTCAAACATTTCTTTTTATACACTTAATCAGGATATCACTTTTTAATGATATTCTAATTTGGCCTTTCAAAAAAATATTTTCTAATTCGGATTTTGAACTTTAAAGAGGTTTTAATGTGGTTTCTAAATATATAAATTGTATTCCCTTCGTGCCGCTAAGATTGTTGCATTTTACCTTTTCGATTCGTCCCACTAACATTGTCACATACCAAATTTGGTAAACTTTTTGTGGCTTTAAATCATTTTTACTTCATTCTAACTTTACCAATTCAATATCAACCACATAATAACCCACCTTTTATTGGTCTGCGAGTCACTCCCTCTTGTCCTATTGTTAGCGGAACGGAGGAAGTAATTATTAAAAATTGTACTCTCTCCGTCCCATTAGAAGGTTCTCACTTTTCTTTTTTGGGAGTCCCATATAAAGGTTCATATTTCCATTTTAGGAAACAATTAACAATCTTAAGTGACAAATTAATCATTAAATATTAAAAATAACACATTTATAACATCATAGTTATCAATACTAACTACATTATAATATATACCTACTAAAATTATTTCTCAAAATATACTCGAAGTACTTTAGGCTAAAGGGTCAAATAGGCCCTTGAACTTATTTAAAGTGCTCACTTAGCCCCTTGTATAGGAGGTTCGTCCCGGCCGTCGCCAATTGGGGCGGTTCCCGGTGGAATTTTTTGATGCATTTTTTTGAACATCTTTTTCATTAAGTCTAGTTTACCCATACCAAATTTCATCTAAAAATTCAACCGGAAAGGCAGTCAAATGATTTTCCGAAATGTACTGCGTTGTTTAACTTCGCAGTTATCTTCAAAAAATCATTTGACTGCCTTCCCGGTTGAATTTGTAGCTGCAATTTGGTATGAGTAAACTAGACTTAATGAAGAAGATGCTAAAAAAAATTCATCAAAAATTCCACGGCAACCGCCCCAATTGGCGACGGCCGGACAGAACCTCCTATATAAGGGGCTAATTGAACACTTTAAGTCAGTTCAAGGACCTATTTCACCCTTTAGCCATTACTTTATTTAATTATTGCCTAATAATTGTGTCGGTTTGCTATGGGAACTTTAAAACAGGACGGAGGTAGTATTAATTATCAATAGGGAGAACTTAACTTTAAAAGTGGTTGACCAAAATTTGTTGACTTTGCAAATCAATTTGAGACAGATGGAGTAATAAACAAATTTCAGATAAACTATAGTAGTACAATTTTCAATAATTAAACCATACTTCGGTCCGGTCCGGTACCGGTTCTCATTTTATGAGAACCCGTCATGGCACTGTTTAAATCCGGTACGGTTTGGTTCAAGACAAAAAATTTGAAATCCGTTTCAAACCTCGTTCTTCAGCCTGGTACCATACCGGTCCAGTTCGGTATTCTTGCCCACCCCTAACTCCAAGGGTCCAACATGTTCCATTGGGCTTCAATGGATATTTTGGCGAGTTAAGTGAAAATGAGGGCACAAATATCTAGCAAATGAGAGGGAGACAATAAGTCGGCCGAGTTTTTATTAAGCAATAACAAACAATTACAGCACATTATACTGAAAGTCGAGTCGAGCGTCTAGTCTATGCTATGAGTGCAAGAGATTAGATGTAATGTTAGGATGTTTTAACTTGGACTGTAATTCGTCCCAGACCAGACCAGATCAGACCAGATCAGACCAGACCAGTCCAATCCAGACCAGACCAGACTTGGATAGTTATAAAAATACAAAGAAACCAGAACAGGCCAGACCAGCAAATTACAGTCCAAGTAAAAACATCCTTAGTGAGTACAAGTTGTCAACCCCTAATTATGAAATAAATGTTGCTATTTATACTATCATGAGGTAGGTGGTAGTGGTGATGTGGAGGATCATGAGTAGCTAGCTTCCCAACCACCAAATCTTGCATATCCGGGTATTTAATGTGCTTCCCGTCAATATCCTAACTCTCCCACCAATTATGTTGGACGTTCCAGTTGAGGCCTTCATGATCCCTGACCCCGGTAAGCGCAAAGATAAGATGTCGTTCGGCGACTGCCAAACGTCTCGACTGAGGCCCCCCATTTGACTGATTGGCTCAAATGGGTCCCTGTTTATAGGCGATGAGCGTCACATAGGTCTTGAAGAGCGTCAGGTGCTTCTTGATCCCCGTTGGGCTGTTACTCTTGATCCCGTGTTCCTTATGGGGTATTGGGTCGGTCCTGTATTGGGCCAATTATCCCAACACACCTCAAGATCTAACTATATATAAAAATAGGTGGAAAATGGCAAATTTTCCCGCCCAAACACATGTCTAATATGGGTCAAAAAAATGGGTCAAACGGGTCATGAAAGACAATCTAAGTATCAAGCTGCAAGGACTGAATAGTCAACCACTTTTGCAGTGACCTGTTGGCTCAATAAAAATTGGACGGGGTTCAAAGCAATGCCAACATTAATTAAAGTTGATTTGATAACTGTCAATTGTCATAGCGTGTTGTCCATTGACACAGAATAACCCCTATGGACCCTTGGTTACTTGGTTCAATTGGTTGTCCATTATCTAAAAAATCAAATCTATAATCTGCATACCTGCTATATTATTTGTTGGCAACTTAAGACCATATCACCGATTTCATCTGAATTGGCATGGAGGAGGCAAATAATCGGCAATCTACAGCTAGCAATATCCAATGGAGTACCGCAGAACCATAGGCTATGGCAACCGCACTGGTGGGCTACTCGCGACGAGGTGCCTCATCAAGTAATTTTTCGATTTTGGGGATGGGCGACGACAGACCCAGTCACCCAGACCTCTTTCCAGCAACGGTGGTAGCGAAGAGATGACGCCAAAATTTATGGGGCAGAAGGGATACCAACAAGGCGTGTGGAGGCAGTCGGCGAGGCGAGTGGAGGACCCCTAGCCTCTGCATATCCGGGCTCTGGCTATGAGGCTTGCGGACTTAAGGAAGATGGAGATGAATAAGGTTTCTTCACAGGGCTTCTGGTGTCAATGTACGCTGGAATTATTAGGCAAACTGTAATGCATTTAGTACGTACTTTGTAGTCTGCTTTACAAAAAACATCTTTGGGTATAGGTTAATCTCATCTTTAAACTCAATGTTGATAAGATTGATAGCTACTATGTGTTTGTAATACTTAGTGCTTTTAACACTCAAAGATTTAATATATGGATTGATTTGCTTTTGCAGCTAGAGATCGAATGTGCTCCAGATGATGCTGGAAGACTCAAAGT